TTTCTTTCCCTGTTGTTTTTTTTTTTTTTTCTCTCTCTCTTTTGTTGTTTTACTTTCCATTACAATTTATTATTTTATTATTATTCTATTATTTCAATTATTAAACTCTTCTTATCTCAACCCACGAGTTTTCTCACTTTTCCGATTCTCTCCCCCATCCCACCTCAGGTGGGGGGGGCAAGGGTGACCGAGTGTCTGTGTGCTCTTAGTTGCTGCCTGAGGTTAAACCACGACATCTTTGCATGTTCTGATCCTGTGTTATTGCTGTATTCCCTGATATGCTTAAGGCCGTGTTGTTTTGTAGCAATCTGCATTTTCATTAAGAAGGTACCTGTCTGGCTTCTGGGATAATGGACAAATCTTTGGAGCGGGGAAACCTAAAATAGCAGAAAACCAACTTTATGAAGTCTAAATATGTGATTTTAAAATACTGTTGTAATTTTTGAGTGACTGGGTTTGGCAAACAAATACCATGGCAGTAGTAGTAAGCTAAAAGCTGAGGAATGAGCAAAGAAACCTGATAGGTAATCAGAACGTGGGAGTGGATCTGGTGCTCTGACATTGTATTTCTCATTTCAAGAGCCAATTTTGTCTTTCAGTGGTACCACAGATGGGCCCCAGTTTATTTGTCTATGAAGGGGGGATACTATTGCTCCTGGGGCTGTTGTAGCAATACATAAATTGCTTCTTGTCACAGACTTGCAAGATTTTTCATCTAAATAAATATCTGATAAAGAAGTTATCTAAAATACAACAGTTTATTCAGTTCCACTCTCTCTTGATAGCTTAAAGTAATGTTAAAGTAAAGCAGATTCAAATATCTGTAGCTATTAGTTATTCCCCTCCTTCCTAATGCCTGCTAATCATGTCACTCATTCAATGGTGGTCAGATTTCACCACTTAATAGTGTCATCTTCGTCATCTGGGTTGGAGCCGCACTGTTTGTAGTGATAACTGCACCACCACACAGTTTTATGAGGCAATAACTTTGTTTCCTCATTTATCCACTCAGGAACTGGCTTATTACCTCATAAAACAGTGTGATGGGAAGTATTATCACCTAAATCCTAGCTTGTTCAGATTCTCCAAAATAATCCTCTCCCTCAGTTGGTCTTTGCAGGCTTTTCCACATATAAGCGAGGGAATCTGCAAATTCAGAGATAAGTTTCTTATTAGTGAACATGTCATCAATTAATAGGAATGAAAATATTATTAACCAACTGTCGTCTTCCAATCTGCTTTGCAGGTTTTGCATGTAGCTGAGGCTCATGAGCTATCCTATGTAGCGACGGGATTAAAACCTTACAGGACGTACAACTTCACTGTCACTCTCTGCAATCAAATTGGTTGTGTAACCAGTGAGCCAGGCAAGGGGCAAACCTTGGCAGCTGGTAAGGAAACAATCTGTATCGAAGTGCAAAGCTGGCACACAGTTTACTAATGAACACCATTAAGATGATCGTAGTTTGATGCACAGTGACAGGGGTAGGTGTTGTATTAACACAAAGTGACTTGCTTAATTATTATCTGTTTATCTTGACAGATTAAAACCAAAATGTTTTCAGTGGAGGTTTAAGGTACACTGTTAATGGCAATAGGATTTGTGTACGGCTCTCTCAATTACAAGTTATTGATATGTATATTTTTGTTCCTGTGTATTTAGACGGTAACAGGAATGTAGCTGAAGCTGTTCATTCATTTATGATGCAAAGAAGTTGTTAATTTGTTGGGGTTTTTTAGTGTGTGTCATGTTTGCATGATAGGGCATGTAAAATTCACATGCTGTGCCAATGCCTTGCGTAACCCATGAAGGAGGAGTTGCATGGTTTTTGTATTAAACTCTAACATATGTACACAGTGTATGTGTGTGTCGAAATCGGAAGCAACATACATGCTTTGGGTCTGCTCTGTTGAAAATGTTTGTTTATTTAGCCCCTGAGATTTATGAGATTTTCCTTTGTAGATATGTGTACTCAGGCTTTCCTATGGAAACAATGCTTAAGAAACTGCATATATGTGCCTGTGCACCTTAATAGATTTTCAGTCTTTGAGTTAATTTCAGCCACATATGTCAGGGACTTCAAAGGTACTAACTTTCTACAAATTTAGGAGAAAATAAGCATCAGTACAGAACAGAGATGGAGAAAGCCTGTATTTACTTTGAAGAAAAGACTGGCATGAACTCACTTCTTAGACATCAGAGGATCAAGAGGGTTTTGAGAGAGAAATTGTTAAGAAAACCAGCTTCGCAAGTCTCTCTATTCATGGAACGAGGTAGTCAGTACAGCTCTTTTATACTATAAATATAAGCTCAAAACCCATGCTATGTGACATAGTGGTGGTCACTTGCAGAGAGCTGACTACTTAACATTGTGGTTACCTTTTGTATAGGTATTTAAAACACATTAATTACTTTCACAATATTAGCATTTTCAGTTAAGCCATTAGTGGTGTTGTCATATGGACGTTGTGATGATGATCTTTGAAATTACCTCTCATGTAATTTGGTCTCCCATAGGAAAAAACTTGAAAATTTCTGCTGTGCAGAATGTTTTCCTAGGCTCCCTGGGCTGTATTTGAGTTGCTTGAATTCCATCAAAGCTCCTCTGCGTAATCAATGAAGAGATACAGGAGCTTCGAGACAGGGAATAAGGAGTTGTCTAGAGCCAGTAAAAAGGAAGCTTTATATACGTGAACTGAAGTGGAACTTAAACTGTTGGGATATTATCTCTAGTCTGTCCTCTCTTCTTCATCTGTCTATTTATTTTATTGCCTTCCCATTTGTTCTCAAGTGGAAGATAGACGATTTGTTCCTTGATTCACCATATCGTCTTTGTGTTTCAGTGGGCAAAGATTGTTCTGTCGGTCTTCTCTCTTGCTGAATTGCTGAGAGAAATTTCAAAAGTTATTTTGTTTCCTCATACTGCCACCTCTTAAAGTTTCAAGCTGGCCATCTACAGAGCCTCTTACTTGTATGAGCATGACTTTATCCCATACCATGCAGCCGTGCAAGGAACAGTGTTCCAGTCTGTGCTGATAACCATGGAAACAAATATGACCTAAACGGCACACCTTATTACTACAAATGATCCAACTTTGCATTTATACATTTATTAAAAGATTCAGAAACAATAGCTTAGTTATGCTTGACAGCTTGTTTATGACCATCTCCTCCCTGGTTGTGCTCATACTTAGAGACCTATCACATTAGAGAAGACAGGAGAATACAAAATAGAACAACAGACACGTCCCCATTTATTAGCTGTTTTGCAGCGTAGCCTTTTCCTGCTTACTGTTGTAAGCCTTGAAAGCAACGAATCAGTCCTGTATCGGGTTCCTTTTATGTTTTTAAAGCATGTTAATGCAATGTCTTAAATTTTGACAAACCAGAGAGTAAAACACTTAAATTTTGCACACAATTTTATCTTCTACCATTCACACTTTTCATTTCTGGAGAAAATTGTTTAATAATCTCCATCCAGTTTTTTTGTGCATGCATGTTCCATTTTGTGAAGTTCTATAAAACTGTGTTTCCAAAGAAAATTTAAAAGAAACACTACTTACGTGATGACTTCTAGATCAAAGTGAGTTCAAACTTGGAACAAAGTTAGGAGAAACCAGTCCCCGTCATTTGTAAAAACAGATGATCAAGTCTTAGTCCATTAATATCCTTTTGTGTCATTGAATGGTGCAAAATGAAATTAAAATTGCCTTTCTAGGACTGTTGAGGAGTTCTGTTTCATGAAGGAATGTCTCCCTGGCACAGAGACAGCATCCCTGGCTGGATGCCAGTCCCCCTCCATGCCCTGGCAAAAGGAGCTTTTTGGAGGAAGTCTCGACTGAAATGTGCTCCAGCATGATGGTCCCCTTGCATCGTAACACAATCCAGGAGCTTTGAATTGTGTTCCAAGTTGGGTTAGAGGTTATAGTAAATTAGACTTCTCTGATCTAAGACTTTCTAAAAAGTCTTCTCTGATCCTGGGGAGGATAATGGAAAACCATCTCTATTCCTTCCATGTGTGGAGTATGCTGATTTATTGCATGGAGCATTTAAATCAATGGGTACCTTGATGACTGTGATTTTGGCGTGTCCAACTGATGTATATTAGCAAGGGGCTTGCTTTTGGAGTTGCCAATGTCTTCTAAAATTTGCCACTATAAGTCTCAAGTAATTTTTAAGCTTTGTTCATATCCATTAGGTTAATTTGAAGACTGGCTACAAAAAAAAGATACTCTTCAAAATCTATTATTCTTCTCTTTCTCTGGCAACATGTTCTTTTTATATGGCATAACACAGCAAATAAAAACAAGGGCAGAAACAAGAGCGTGAAATCATTAGAAACAAAAATGCTGAGGAAGAAAAGTAAGAGGTTTTGAGAGAGGATCTAAAAGACAAAGAAAAGAGACTTCTGCAGTCAGGGGCAGAATTTAGGGGTAAGACCTAAAGGAGCAGAAGCATCAGAAACAGTCTGCTGATTTTTCAGTGAGAAGTCTTTTGGAGTATAACTTAAAATTGGTTAAAATAATCCAGAGGCAAACATAACAAGTAGATCCCTTCTAACCTGGTTCAGTATAGGCATCTGTACCAGGGATAGCTCATGAGTAGCTTTGCAGGAGGAGAGTGAAAGAAAACTAAAGTCAGCCATATGTCCTTGCGTCTGTCAGACTGGCAAAAAATCTCCTCCTCATCAATTTATACACCCACAATATTTGTAAATGGTAATAAAAGAAGACAACTGAGCCAGAAGAATGTAAGGAGAGAGAGTGAGGAAGTAAACAAAATAGAATTAATAAGAATTGAGTTATTTTATAAAAAAGCTGAGTGGAAGTTGTCACAAATGCATATGAAACCAGGAAGAAGAATAGGTGTGATAAATAAAAGAACTTGCACAGGTATGCCTGATGCATAAGCAGCTCTGAGAATGGTAAAAAGTGTTGGAAGATCAACGTTACATGGTAATGCAGTATTGGGATGAAAGATCAAAGCAAGCTAGTCAAGGAAATGGAAGAAGAGAATTAACCCATGTCTGTTACTCAAAGAGAAGGTGACTGGACAGAAATAGAACCTCAGGTTGGTATATTCGGGTACAAATACACAGATAGTTGGCTTTTAAAGACTCAAATAATTAAAAAGTGTTTCATACTTTTTCGACCAGTATTTTAAACGTCAGACTAAGGATGCGCATTCCACAATCCATGTGATACTTTAAATACTCTTTATGCACTGCAATATTGTGCACATGCTATTGAAAGCTTTGGCTGATAGATGAGGAAAGTTCATTTTTAATACTTTGTTTGAAACTTTGAAATCTAATTTGAGCTTGGTTTTTGTCTTTGTTACCACAAGATCATCAAGTGGAACTGCAAGCACTACTGGACAGTAATTATACATTTTTCATCTCAACACCTAGAGCCACGTTTTTCTTTATTCCTTTCTCCAGGTTCTGCTGAGTTCAAATTCCTGTTTATTTTTGAGAATGGCATTCAGCCTGTTATTGTTACCAGGTCTTAGGCTATTTTTTTAATTTTCAAAAGCACTTTTTGCTCTGTGGTTTTATCTTGTGCAGGATTCTGAGCTGGTACCTTGGAATCTATAGAACTGTACTAGCTGGTACCAGTGAAAGTCCTGGTCTCTTAAAAGTGATTTTTTGACGATGTGTTTGCATAAAATTATTAATTACTTGCATTATTCTTTGCAGCATCTACCAAGGCACAACATGCATGTTTTCCAAATTTTTCAGTTAGGCAGAGAAGCATCTTTTTTCCTAGCAATTTCTGACATTTCAACGGGATGGAATTAGCCATGTGAGTGCTTGGACTAGTGCAATTGCTTATCCTACCCCCCTCAAATCAGATAGCCAAAGGGTGCCTTAAACAATCGACACAGCTATGTTTCATTAACTACCGTGTGACTGAGCTTATTTCTTGTAATTAAGCTCATCTTTCCTTTGCCCTTTTTCTTTTTTTTTTTTTTAAATTTCATTTAAAAAGCATTTTTTAAGAGGCACCAAAGTATGGCTTTGTGATTGCTGCCATTTACCCCAGCACATTGTATTCCTCATCCTTTGCTTTTGATGGCAATTACAGGGTTCAGAAGCTAATTTGTAGAAGATATTCTTCCAGCACCAGCTGCATCTGGCTTCTTGGCAGACTTCTCAAGCAGTTGTATTGGTGGCTTTGGAGTTGCCTCTGGGTTTGCTGGGGTAATGATGCTGATGGGCTTTCTGGGCTGTCTTACACTCCTTGATGTTGTTTTCTTTTTGATTACCCTTTTAATCTGAGTAATTTGTCCATTTTTTCCATTCATGGCTAAGGTCCGGTGCAAGCCCTTTTCAAAAGCCTCAACCCATTTGTCATGGCAATACAGCATTTGTTTATGCCTGTCATAGAC